AAAATGTGGTGAGTATGCAACAAAAACATCTTGCAGTTAATTTTTAAAGCTTCCGCAAGTCTGGAGTCAAAAGCACAATGAATATAGATGAAGCATGCAAGCTAACAAAAAATGAAAGAATTTGAAAAACATCGGTCAATTGCATGTAAAAATGCAGTGTTCAGCAACTAATGTTTAATTGGCATTGCTCACTTTAATTCATTGAACCTGAATGGATGTATTCCTGGTAGCAGAATATTTACATGTTGAAGTATATAGCAATGAAAAATGAGAAGGTGAGTGTACTGAGAGGCAACCAAATTATTTGTGAGAAAATATTACTTATTTCTATTTGATTATGAGTACAGATGTAGACAAAGTTTCCATTTGTCTTTCTGCTCTCAAATGCATGGAAATTTTTCTTTCAAGATAGCTAAATTATGAAAATGTGAACTCTGGAAAGCCAAAATAATACATATTTTGCCTAGGCTTTTGATTAAGTTTTTTAGGGAGCCTGCATCTCTTCAGAAGTCATCGGCAGACTCTTTCAGTCCAAAGTATGCAGTTGTATACAGGTACACATTAAAAACGTGTGATAAATTCCAGTCTAAGTTCTATTTGTTTTGGGTTTTGTTTATTTTCAGTAATTCCATCAAGCTAGTGAATCTGTGCTCTATATTTATCAGCACGTGGCTGACAGCAGCTGGGTTCATACATTTGGTAAGTATATCTGAAAATACTTTGTTGACTTCTTCTCATGGATCATCTGCTCTCTGAGCTACTTTATTACCTGAAATTGCATTTCTCTGGATAATCCCTTAGCAAATCTATAGAGTACAATAAAAAAGACATCAGAGTTTGAATTTTAGGCTTCTACTCAAAACTAATACTGAGTAATACGTCATTAACTTAATCAATAAAATATGACTTGAACTGGTGCAACTTCTTGTATGATTACAATTTACCAGTAGGTGGCAATGTTTCCTAAATAACTACCCGGAGTGCTTCCTGGAAGGGGTTGGCAGAGCTGAAATGATACTCAGGTCCTGGGAATTCAGTGGTTGTACTAGAAAAAAGCAGTTCTATATTTCCATAAGAAGTAATGGGATTGCTGATGTTCTGGGTAGCAATTTTTTAGAGATTATTTCCTTATATTTTCTTTTTAAATTTCAAAATATTTGGTGTAGCTTTCAGTCACTGATTACATAGATTTTTGTAATAGATTTTTATTCTGCACTCAACAATACCTGAAAAATGTAAGATCGTTAGTATAGAAGTAAATCTGAGTTAATAAATGTGAATATTTATATATATGATAGGTATATGTCAATTGTGTGTTTAAAACATTTTAAACTTATAGATTTTACTGATTTCTTTAGTAAGATAAACTTAAATATGGTTGTTTGTCCTTTAAGTACATTTTATGATTAACTTACAATGATGAAAATTTCAAGGTGCTAGTAGTAATAAGTTCTTCAGGAATGGGTTTGGACTAATATTATAATTTAATTATATTGATGTTAGTCCAGAGCAATTTGATTGGCTTCACTTGAATTACATTGAGCTACATCCAGCTCGATATGATTAAATTCAGAATATTTATCTTCTTCTTATACCAGATGGTCATTTAATTTTCACTCTTGTAAAGATGCACCGAAATTTTGGATGTTTTCATTTATGATATACTTCTCTTTCATGGATGGCCACATTTTTACACTCCTTTGGGCAAATGTAGCAATTTTAATCATAGAAACATTAGCTTTTTCTATTTTTGAACCACAAAAAAAAGCTTTTTTTAGTATCACTAAACTTAACATGTCACTAGTGCTGTTATTAGCTACATAATGCTTTAAAACAAAAACAAGAAGTATAGTTTTACATGTAAGATTCACTTCGAAAAAGGTCTGCAAAATGGTATAAAATGAATTTACCTATCTGCATTAACAAGTTTTATTATTTAGTGGTGAATGGAAAAGATACTTTCCATAAATAGTATGAGTGGCAAGGCTATGCATATTGGCAAAATAACTGTAATGCTATAATTGGGACTCGGTTAATTTCTGTATTTGTTCAAAATAAATCACAGAAGGGATCCAGAGTTTATATTATATGCCAAATTATATATATATATTCACACACACATATATCACTAGAGCTAATTTGTGGTACAACTCTATTAATTAGTTATGTTTTCTTGTGCATTTTAGGTGGAGAACTCAGGGGATCCATGGGAAAATTTCCAAAATAATCAACCTCTAACATATTGGGAATGTGTTTATTTACTGATGGTTACAATGTCCACTGTTGGCTATGGAGATGTTTATGCAAAAACAACCCTTGGTCGCCTTTTCATGGTCTTCTTCATCCTTGGGGGATTGGTAAAAACTCATTATTATTATTTTATTATTATTGTCGTTGTTATTATTATTATTCCGTCTACCTTGATACTTGATCTTGTATATCTCAATGTTGCAATTAAAGAAATAATATCTGGTTTTGTAAATTTTAATTAGTTATGTGTTTAATACACACCATTTTTCTTCAATGGAACAATAGGTTGTCAGAGAATATGAAGTTAGTCCAGTTTAGTAGAATCAGAATTTTGCTAATGCATTTTAGTAATGCTTGAGAATACATGAAGTGCCTTAATATTTCAACTTATAATGCTATTAGAAGTTATTATTATTATTATTATATTTGTAGTCCTTTACTTTCTAGTGACTGACGGTAGAGTGTTTTTTTGAGGCTTCTATTGATATTTAAAGGCACTTTGCGGTTTCAGAAGTCCTACCCACCCTCCTGTGTTCCTTCCCAGAATTCCAACAAACACTGTGGCTTTGGACTGCCTAAAAGAGCAGCTTGCCTGATCCAGATGATGGCAAACCACATTCTCTTTAATTTCAATCATCTTTTCATGTCATGTAGCACAATTTTAACTCACAGTTTATCACATGGCCATAACCAGTATCCTTTTATATCAGCAAATTCTCTTGCTCTTTGTCCTGTATGTACATAGCACCTAACTTACTTGTGTCAATTTTTCTATTATTTATCAGTGTGAGTAATATTATAGGACTTGTTGCAATGTTATTCTCTAAACCAGCAAGGTTTATTTTAATATTTACACTGTGTAAGGTAAGTGCTTTATGGATGACTCACAATATATATTGTGCACATACATACATATGGATGTTGTTATTTTTACTCTCATACATTGATTTCACATATTCATCCATCTTACAGAAGTGATATGTATATAACTAGTCTTATGAATGGCATATAAGACACGCGCAGATACATATATATGAGTATGTATATGAGCATAAATATATGCATTCACATGTATGTTTATTGACATACGAAGACAAAGACTATGTCAACTGGCAGTAGCTCTTCGAAGTATCCAGCCACAAAGAAGATGTTTGTTGGACAAAACATGGCAGAATAATTTTTATTTTCTCCTCAAAACCTTTTTTCTATCACATGTTATTCCAATCCTTTTAAAAACACAAACTTTTGGAAAAGGTTTTTGTTGGGGCAGGGGGGTGACCTTTTTGTTTCTTACTGGGGAATAACCCCTGATTCCATCTTGGTTTTGCCTTCTTTTGAGTCCTAATCACTGGGGGGCAAAAAGTCTGTCTTCTAAAATAGAAATGGTTTTGTTTTTGTTTTCTTTTTTTCAGTGGAGCTTCGATAGGTTTTTTTTCCCTCCCCTCTTCAGGAAGAATTAGACATAACTGTATTTTATGATTAGATACCAGTTTGAATTAATTTTGTTCTTGTTTTGCTTTGTGTGCCTATTTTTCCTCTTTTGACCATTTTTTTTCATGTATAAGGTGTGCATCTTCTCCAAGAGCAACTTTTACATTTAGCCTTTTTGTTTTGTTTGATAAGAACTTTTACATTTTTTTAAATTTTCTTTTTAAACAACTTTATAGATCTAATTCTTTTGCATTTTCAGATCTTAAAGATATATATCTTCTGAAAATATTCATCATCCCCCTTTCTTTGGCCTCTCTTTTTAGTCTTTTCTTCTGTCTCCTATCTTCTTCTTAGGCCATGTTTGCCAGCTACGTCCCTGAAATCATAGAGTTAATAGGAAACCGCAAGAAATATGGTGGTTCCTATAGTGCGGTTAGTGGAAGAAAGTAAGTATCCCAAGAGGCTCTGCTGCCTCTGCTGCAGTAGAACACTCTCTGCATGCCATTTTCTTTTTTTTTTTTGTGTTTTTGTTTCATGCATGTAGGCAATGTTTGCTCGCTACGTGCCAGAAATTGCTGCTCTCATCCTTAATCGGAAGAAATACGGCGGGACTTTTAACTCAACCCGAGGCAGAAAGTAAGTCAAAAAAGACCAGGTGTGGTTGTGTGACTTTAAAGAGCCCCTGAAGGTGGTAATAGCTGACTAACAGCTTACAAGGCTGTATTGCTTGACATCAGATGTTACCACTGGAGAGTTGTCACACTGTAATTAGAGACCTGGGTTATGCTACAGTACAAGTCACATCATTTTGTCCCTTCTTCAAGAGAACCTGGATACCACTAGGACTACACTGACACATCTTGTAAAAAACACTGCTGTTACATATGCAGTAAGCTTCTGGTACAATGTTGACTTGTCACTTCACAGCTTTGGGCATTGGGTTATCATGCGGTCACCTCTTAACTAAGTGACAATGATAATTCACATTTTCAAGCAACTCAGTTCTTTAGAAAATTTATGTTGATTGGGTTATTCCATTAGACTGACTGTGTCAGAAGTCTGATAGTGCTATTTCTCATTGTTCAAACTCAGATCTCATGCAGCTCCCATTGATTTCATATGAATGCTGCAAACACTTGTGATTTTAAGATCTATGACCAGGGATTTTAAAGTGATTATCGTCCACACAATGTATGAAACCTATCCTAAGAAGAACAGGTGGTAGCCTTAGTATCAAGATAGAATGGAAAAAAACCAAACCTGTAAAAGATATTATTTTTACCAGCAAAGGTTACATTCTATTGGACCGCATTAGCTCATTACATTTCTGTTGAAAACCTGCTTGTTTCCTTGACCAAGTTAAAACCAGCTCTTTCTGGCATTCCCAGCATCTAGACCTGCTGAGATATAGCCTTTAATGAAATAAGTGTACTTGGCGATGTAGTAGTTTCTGCTCTATATTGCCATTGCTATCTTTTGTTTCATTACATATCATTGTGACGTTCATGTGGTAGAGATACTTTTTCCATAAAATGCTAGTCATACAGAATTCTTTCCATATAGCGTAAAGAAGATAATGCAAGCAAAGCATCTAATTAATTGTCCCTCTCCTTTAAGAAAATTTATTTTTTACTTTATTCCTTTCAAGTCATCACCCACGCATCATCTTATAAATGTGGATTATGGTTTTATCAAGTTCTTTCTTCTCTTTATGGAGCAGAAAGACTGTAAGTGTCCAACTGAGCTGGTTCTAGAGTGGTATTTTACATCACTGCACAGATAAATAAAAGTTTTTTCTTTAGTTATAGCTTATACTATTGTATATTTAATAATACTCAAGCAATTAGATTACACAATTAAGAACTTAAATACATTAATTTCTTGAGATACCCTCAAATGTCTAAAGTTATTTTTTTCTGTGAACACTAATGTTGGAAACTTGCATCATAAGTCACTTATCCAGATTTAAAAAATGCCTTGTTTCTGAGATAGAGTAGTATCATCGATTTCCCAAAATATTTATTTGTGATAGAAGCCTACTCAGTTTCGTATTTGTATTCATACTTAGTTTCTCAGAGAAGTTTTTCAAACACAGAACTTACACCTCTGTTTTTGAGACTCCAAAAGAGTTATAGCAAAGGGTAATACAGTTAAAACCTATTTTACATACAGAGTTTTAGTCTCTCCTTTTCTACATTGTCACTAGTACCCAGCGTTGCTTAGATGTGTCTAAACTTGGACCTGATCTTCAGTCAGAACCCCACATCCTGAAAAGCTCAACTCCAGATCAAAGGCTTCTGCTCGCTTTGGGGTGTGCTTAATCTTATTTTTTCACCCTTTTTTTTTTTTTGTCTTTATTTATGTGCACCATCTTTTTTTAGCTCGCTCTGTTGTCAGTGCTTTCTCTGCTGATCTCTACTGCCCATATAACTTTGTTGTTTGAAACTCAACTCTGTCATCAGCATACAAACTGTTTGATTTACTTTATGCATTGTTTTCTGGTTCAATTATTGATTACTAAGTAGTTTAAAGATGTCCTTTGCTTATGTGGGCCTTTCATCAGAGAATCTAAGCTTGGGAACTTCACAGTAAAAAGCCATTAGCACCCCTTGTTTGATGTTACTTTTGCAGTCAGTAGAACAAGATTGATGAAATGTTATGTTTGGCCAAAATTTAAGTTTTCATTTGGAATTCCGTGTTGAGGGGATGGATTGTCAAAACCAATAAGTTTTCCTTTGCTTGGGATATGGGCATGTGGTAGTAATTAGCAACATAAGATCTTTAGTTGAGCAACCAAGCATAGATTCTGGCAGCAAATATAATGAGAAACTACAGTTGTTCTATTCCTAACACCAGAAAGTTTCCAGATAAAATTAAATGCATGTACAAAATGAAGGCAGCTAAATTTTGTTGAAAGATGTAATTCCGACTCTTAAAATAGGAAATGTGTATACTTTTTAATTTTCACCAAAATAGATAAATACGTGGAATCTGCATTGTAGCATTTATATATATGTTTATACATGTTGCCTCAAGAACTACATCTGTGGAATAACATGCTTCTATATAACTATTAAACCTTTAGGTGGGAAGTTAAAATGAACATATGATTATGTGTGTTTTGAGGATTTCGCTACATGGCTTTAATACTGAGGAGAGACTTGCTATAGAATTGTAAACTATCAAAGGAGCTAGAATGTATGCAAAAAAAATTATTTCTACAAACTCCATTTACTAAAGAAGAGAAGCAACCAACACACCAGCAACTTCCTGGTCTCGCATTTCATGTTGCTTTTCAGTCAATAAAGTCCCCAGAGGACTCTCAAACTGTATAGGAATAATTTTGCACAATAAATAGGCTTACTTCTCTCTTAGATGAGACAGAGTTTGGAAACAGAAGTTGTTTGTGGGCAGTATACAATTATCAATGGTTAAATTTACTAGATACTAGGTAGTTTTGTTACAAAATGCCATGGGGATTTTTAAATTTTATTTTAAAAAATAATTTATAATCTCTACTTTTCTCAGATGGTCAGTAGACAAGAAAAAAATGGCCTTCTTAGCTTAGTTATACTTAGAACAAACAAAGGATTGCTTCTTGCTATAGTACCACTAAATACAAATGATACAGAGAAAGCCAGACTGTAATACAAAGACAGAAAATACTTCATCTTATATATATACACCTAAGATGTAACTAGGAGATAAAATTCAGGCATGAGAAGCAATCAGAACTGTAAAAAATATTGTTTTCTAATGCTGCTAAGAGGTATCTTAGGATAACAGTGATGTGGTTTCCAAGATTTTCCACATAGTCCTACATAGTTTTTCTGTTCTTTCACATGAGGAATTCAGAGCAATTCTCTTTCCTGTGCATTTCCCTGGATACTACATTATTTTACGTTTTGGGAAATACTTTTTGCAAAGCGGGTGTTGTACATATTCTTTACATATCAGTCAATGTTTTTCGGATTTCTTTAGAAGTAGGTAACAGTGAAATTTACCTTCCCCATAGAATAGTTGGCGTATTTTTTATTGTTAATAGACTAGTAACTCCTTGAGAGAGTTTTTTTGTGAGATTTAATGGAGTCAAGTTTATGCTTTCCGACAATGAGAAATGCTTTAAAAATGCAAAGTAGACAAATTTATAATGAAGGTTAACTCTTGTTAGTTTTTTCATCACCAAGCATTATGTCATCACACTGAAAAATATCTGCAGTATTATATAGGACATATCTCAGTAAAACATTGTGAAGCTTACTAGATCGCTAAGAAAAAACTAATGAAAACATGTATTTGAAAGAAGTTATATTCAGGCAATTTCATAAAGTAAATTAGTGACAAACTAGTACCATTATCAACAGATAAAGTGGTTTGTAATGACAAAATATTGGCTGTAAATACTGGAGATAAGAGCTAGATGTAACATGCAGTTGGGTGAAGAAGGAAAAATCTGACCTTTTATTACAATATTTTAAAAATATTAGACTTTAGTTTAGAAAATGTAATTTTATATATATATATATGAGCAGGGAAAGTTTAATGCTTTTTTTGTCTGTTTGAATGTGTTTTTCCATCAGTTACAAACTGGAATTGTATATAGCTTGAGTATTAATGATATTTCCTCTCAGCCTTTTTTCTTACTATTAAGAAAGAAACCAGCAGCTGGT